GATGTCAAATGGATTCAAAATCAACGAGTGTGACAAATGTGTTTATGTCAAGAATACAGAAGACGGTTATATCATTCTTTGTCTGTATGTAGACGACATAATAATTGTAGGTAGCAATGATCGGATGGTCAAATCTACCAAACACATGTTGAACTTAAGGTTTGACATGAAAGATATGAGACCGGCTGATGTGACTTTAGGGATCAAAATCAAAATGGTGCCTGATGGTCTCATATTGACTTAGTCACATTACATGGACAAGATACTTGACAAGTTTAATAAAGATGATTCTAATTTTGCCAGAACTCCTATTGATATAAGTCAACATCTGTCCAAAAATAGAGGAGAAAACATATCTCAGGTGGAGTATGCTAGAGTGATTGACAGTCTGATGTACTTAATGAGCTGTACAAGACCAAATATTACCTTCATTGTAAGTAGATTGAGCAGATTCACGAGTAACCCAAGAGATGACCACTGAAAAGCAATTGTGAGAGTACTGAAGTACTTAAGATATACTCGTGATTATAGACTGCATTACACAAGAGAACCTGTTGTTTTAGAAGGATACTTTGACACAAGTTGGATATCCGATATACAAGATTCTAAGGCTACTAGTGGATATGTAATCACCTTGAGTGATGCAGCTATTTCATGAAAATCCTTTAAGCAAATGGTAATAACTAGATCCACGATGGAAGCTGAGTTTGTCGCTTTGGATAAATATGGCGAAGAAGCTGAATGGCTTAGACATTTCTTGGACGATATTCTGGGTTGGCCAAAGCCTGTACCTGTAATTTGCATATAGAACGATAGCCAATCAGCTATTAATAGATCACATAATACGATGTATAATGATAAGTCTAGACATATACGTCGTCGACATAATATCATTAGACAACTGATCTCAACGGGAGTCATAGTCATTGACTATATAAGGTCGAAAGGTAATATTACGGATCCGCTGACCAAAGGACTGAATAGAGATCAAGTTAAGAAAACATCGAGAGGAATGAGACTGAAGCCCATGGAATAAATAGGTCGAAGTAGTGGAAACCCAACCTAACTGATTGGAGATCTCAAGATCTAGGTTCAATGGGACAACTAAATTGTATAGACCAGCTGAGTTCACTGTGGGGTTAACCCCGGCCTGTTCCTATGATGATAACAATGAAACTCGTACGAGAAGAGGTTAAACATTAATTTTTAATGATTCTTATGCGTTGGATACGTCAAGAATCTGAGCAGAGTAATACGGGTTACTCTTCATTAAGAAGTCACATATGTGATAGAGAAGTGAGGTGGCTTCAAAGGAGAATTGTGAGGGCTCAATTCTTTAGAAACTCTTGCAAAACCAGGTAGATGTTCATGGCCAAAACGAACATAACCATGAGAACTGAACTGTGTCAGGAAGATGTCTGTGTGAGGTATATTAACGTTTACACAAAGGCAAAACAATTCAAGAACATCGCGTCTATTGGTCAGCCAATAAAGTTAATGTATTCCCACAATGGAAGGTTCAAGGGTTAACGCCTACCTATCCTTTGTAGGCATCGACTGTAGAACTTTATCACCGTGTCGAGTCTGTACTTTTCTCGGCGTCAGTCAATTTTCATTCATGTGGGGGATTGTTGGAAAATGACTTGTTAAGCCATATTAAAGGCCCATTTTAGAGGGGGCCCAATTGGATTTTGGGATGAATATTCATGCACTAAAAATGGATATTGAGTGAATGAGAAATTGATGTTCTAATTATGTCACTTGGTATGTTTAAGGTAGTTAGAAATTGCAAAAATCCCACATTGGCTAGGAATGAAGCCTTGGTGGTGTTTATAAGTAATTGCACTTTGAAACCTAGGTAAGCATTTATACCAGAGAGGCTCTCTCACGCGCATGGGGGTGTGAAACACGGTCCCGGCGGGTTAGGGGCCCAATGTGTGCGCCCGCGACCTGCAGACATGAATGCCGGATCGAAAAACTTGCTCCGTGCGGGTTTCATTTTGCAATTTTTCTTTTTATTTTTTTCCAATTGAAATCCGAAACTGTTGCATTAGTGGATGATTAACTCTGCATTATTGTAGGATTTCGAAAAACTGCAACATTAACTAGCATTATTGCTTGGTTTATGGACATTTAACTTCTGAATGTGGATGTACCTTGGAGCAGGTTCATCAGGGGCTGTAACCTCTGGTTTAAACTCCATTAATCCAATAATAAATTAGGATTTATACACCATAATGTCATGGTGTAACATCCGGATTTTGGAGCCTCTATAAAGGCCATACTGCACATGAACAAACACAACAATTTTGAGTATTCTCTTCTCCTCTCTCTCAAGTTTCTTTATGTTTCGAGTTCTTTGTGCGTTTTTCCTTTCGTTGTGTGTTTTTGGTGATAGAGGAAAGGTACAATTCTAGTTCCCTGAGACGGTTCTGATAGTGCATCGTTTTATCGTCGTTGTCGTTATATCCTGGGAGACAGACGTCCAACGTTACCTCAAGCACTCATTAGAGGGGACGAATCTGTTTTAAGGAAAGCGTGGTTCATGTGCCTCGACATCCTTGCAATTCGTTTTTGAATTTAGTAGAAATGTTGAATTTGTGTTGTAACAATTTCATTATTTTATGTTTACAAAAGTTGTTATATATATGTTGTTATTCTTTATATTATCCATATTTTTTCCTAACAGATTTCAATGAAGATAGAAAAACAGAGAGAAATTAGTAACCTTGTCCTCACTAAATGCTTCATGAGGTATTGAGCTTATTTTCTAGCCCCCTTAAGAGAATGTGCCGTGGAAGATTAACTCGTTAGAATATTTATTTAACACTTAAAAGTTTGAGCTAAATTGCCACTTAGAGCATAGGGCTAATTTCAATTTGAAGTCTCAACCATCTCAATTTGTGTAAAAAGATGAGACATCCACACCAAAGATATAATAAATTTTCCTCTGAAGTTGAAGTCGTAGATTGAAGTGCATATAGCATTTGAGAAGAAGAAGAAGATTAATCGAGTTATGAATCTTATGATGTTATTCTCGAAGTTTCAACAAAATCCACCGTTTCCAATTTTCTTGATATTTTGTGTCTTAGTTGTACCGTCATATTTTTCCTCACCTTATCTTTCTTGGTAGATATAGACCATTCAATATTGTTTTAGTCCTGTCATGTGCATATCCACAATCAGCAACCAACAAATTATTTGTAGTTTACTAAAGCATAGTTAGTTCATACCATAAGAACAGATTCCGATTTGTGGATATAAATTACCTAAACATATTCAATACAAAGAGGCAGCTAAACCGGGCGTGGGGCGGGGCGGGGCGGGGCGGGTGGTTAACGTGGGTGATGAAGTTCTTGGTTCTTTGGACAACTCTAGTTATCTTTAGACCATCTATGCATTTATTGAACTATACACAATCAAGCCAAAAATTTTCTTTGTCCAGCTAAAGTAAAGCATAATATAATGAACAGCGTTTCTTTACTTCTTTTTTCACCAAAGAAATTAGCTAAAATTTACGTTATACGACTCAGCAGGGTGGCAATTTTAAAGTTGAAATGGAACTAGACATGTTCATGCTAGAAAATGACACCTTTGTATGTTGGAACCATAATCCGCGGAGGATATAGCTATGTGGGAGACAAGTTTATAAGGCTGGAGTTTGTTTCCATGTGACGTATATTTAAGAACTGAGAATGAAAAGTAGTGGCGTTTAGTCAGTTATGGAAATGATATATATATCCCTGACAAATTGTGCAAGAACAAATTCCACTTTGTTCATAAGTACATGACTCAGTTATAAGTTACTTTGGTCATATGACTTGCAAATCTGCTAGTAGTGAAATAGGAGTTAGTAATCGTGTGCAAAATTTAGGGAATATTGATATAGATTTTCCTCTTTTTTTGGACATCTTGTGAATTATCTATAAGAGTTCCGAGGGACAATCTTTGATATGTTGGGCGTTTTGGATGGTTAAATTCCAAAAGGTCCACACAACAAGAACATATTGAAGAATGAATAGCTCCAAGTACATATAGGTGTATTGCTGTTCTATGTATTTGCTAAATCAGCGCTCTCGCCTGAGAAGAATATAGGGAATGGCCAAATATGTGATTGATTTTGTAGAGTATAAAAGGATGAAGATATGTAGACATAATGTGTAGGTACATTGGTTGCTAATGTTGCATGTGGCACTTTATCAAGTCAATGTCACATAGATGCCAAAAACCATAGGTTATTTTTAAATTGGGGCAGGCCATGAAATTTAGGAATTCGGTTATACATCTCATCGTCAAATATTGTGTTAATGTAGTGTTTTACGGATTAAATGAAGTGGTGAAACATTTTTATCTCATACAGATGGGAAAGAAACAACATAGGTATCATGTCACACATTGAACATTTAGCAATTAGATGTTCAACTTTAGTGATGTTCTAATCAATAGTTTTATGTACAAATCTGATCTGATTTTTGAAATTCTTGAAGCAATGGATTCCTTAGTTAAGTTTCTATCGTAGAATGTGCAGAAATCTGATTTTGGTTCAAAGCATTCTCCTATAATCGCTTGAAACCACAATAACATCACAATAAACCCTAGTTCTGACCATTGCAGCTTCAAAATCAAATTTCTCCCGAATTCCCGAACCCCGCAATGCGCGTAAATACTCGTTGGAAAGCTTACAAAAAAAGGAACAAGATGAAAAAAACCTTACTCAAATCCATGGGGTATAGCTCAAGTTATTATGAAATCAATCGGACACAGAAGCACACCTAAACTAAGCTTGAGCCCCCATTTTCCACAAAGCCTCTCATCCATGCATCGCCTATCAAGTAATAGGAGCCGTTGATAGCGCTTTAATCGTAAAGCCCAAATTTAAACTTGGCAATGTGAGGGATCCGTGTGATAGGCCTTTCAACCAATCAGCGTTCAGCTTTCGGATATCATCTTTCACGCACTTGACTATTTAAGGTATTTCATTTCCGTCATCGTCTCACAACCGAAATTACCAGTAAAATTACACCACCACCACCTGTATAGATTAGATCCAATCTCAAATTAAGCCCTAGATTCCAATTTCCCCAAATCTTCTCAATGGCTACTCTGGAGGAACCCGACGTGCCGGTCGAACCTCAGAATGAACCTCCTCCGGCCGAGACGGCGGAGGAAGAGAACCCGCCGGTGAAGACCGGCAAGGCGAAGAAAGCAGCCAAGGAGCCTAAGCCTAAAAAGGCTGCTGCTCCAAAGAAACGAAATCCTCCTACTCATCCTCCTTACGAAGAGGTAATTTAGATTTGTGTTCTCGAATGCAATTGTTGTGGAATTTGAGATTGGATCTGATTGTGTTTTGTCGGATTTTGGTTACAGATGATTAAGGATGCGATCGTGACGTTGAAGGAGAAGACCGGCTCGAGTCAACACGCGATCACGAAGTTCATCGAGGAGAAGCAAAAGAATCTCCCGCCGAACTTCAGGAAGCTTCTGCTATTCCACTTGAAGAAGCTCGTCGCCGCCGGGAAGATCATCAAGGTCAAAGGCTCGTACAAGCTTCCGTCTTCGTTGGCGGCGAAGCCGGCCAGTGCTGCTCCTGCGAAGAAGAAGGCGGCCGCCGCCGCGAAGCCGAAGCCGAAACCGAAGCCAAAGCCAAAGCCGGCTGCCAAGCCGAAGAGCGGGAAGTCCACCAAGGCATCGTCATCGACAAAGTCGCCGGCCAAGCCGAAGGCGGCTGCGAAGCCGAAGCCTAAAGCGGCTGCCAAGCCGAAGGCTCCCGCAAAGCCGAAAGCCGCTGCTCAACCGAAGACTAAGCCCGTTGCCACTGTGAAACCCAAGGTTACAGCCAAAACGAAGGCAGCGGCGAAACCGAAGCCTAAGCCGGCTAAGGTTGCGAGGACATCGGCGAGGCTCTCTCCAGGGAAGAAAGCAGCGGCTCCCAAGGCGGCGCCAAAGAAAGCTCCCGCAGCTAAGAAGGCACCGGCAAAGAGCGCGAAGTCTCCGGCGAAGAAGGCTCCGACGAGAAAGGGGAGGAAGTAGGTCCGGAATGAAGAGATGAAGGCTAGTGTTTGTAGGGGTAGACATGTAAATCTCTTGATTATATGCAAAAAAAAAAACCAATATGACAGACTTTTTTTTTTTTTTGTTTTGTTTTTTTTTTTTCCAGATATGTTATTCGGCATGTTATTTTGCCTTAGTTTTTTTTGTTTTTGTTTTTTTTTCCTTTTTTTCTTTTTGGTTATTGTTTTTTCGTTGTAGGGATTTGGAAATAGTTTGAGGTGTAACATTTTTAAGTTTAATGGATTATGCTTATCAGTTTGGAGCACAAAATGTTTTCGTGTAAGACCTGCTAATTAAGCCAATTAACCAGTCTTCTAGGTTTCTCATTACGTTTGAAATTAGCTTAATCACAGGCTTTCGGGATTGATTAGTGGCTTATAAAATAAACCAATTTTGTAAGTTCCCTTTGAAGGACGGAGCGTTGGCGTTTTGAATACGTCCACAATAATGGTTAGTTTGGTTGAACTTGAATTTGTCTTGCGTTAGAAGTAGCGCTTTTTTTTTTTTTGGGTGGTTGTAGGCTTATAGCTCTTCACGTGTCTCGGTAAATCGTCCCAAGATCCCTCTGTATCTCCTCCTTGGCTCATGAGATTTGGCATACAAGCAATTGCCAATTTTAAGCCTAATTAAAACTGTTGTCCAATTTATTCGTTCAAATTTGCTGTTTAATTTTGGATGTCTTAATTAGTATATAATTAATTAAATCATACTAAATTATTACATAACAAGTGTAAAAGAGTTAGTTAAAAAACAATATAAATTTTTTGCGTGGTATAATTTGATTTATTAGATACTAAAATTGACCAGTAAATTTGAATTTACCCGTTTAGCTCATTCGAGTTTATAACTTAAGTTAAAAAGTAAATTTATGTAAGAGGAAAAACTATAGCAGTAAAAGTTGAATTGAAATTTAATCGTCCCCCGTTCACTTCGCTGATTCGAGTTTAGAATTCAAGTTTTTCTACAGTAAAAAGCTCTCACAAACAATTACATCTAACTTTTTTGCTACAGTAAAAAGCTCACATAAAATCACATCTCAACTCGAATTCTAAACTCGAATCAGCGAAGTAAACGGGGCCTAAATCTGTTGTCTAATTTTTAGCGTCTTAATTAATGTCTAATCAATTAACTCATATAAAATCATTCCATAATAAGCACAAAAGAATTAGTTAAAAAGTAATATAAATTTTTGACATGACGTGACATGATTTGATTGAATAGACACTAAAATTAGAGAGTAAATTTGAGTTTGTTTGTTTCCTCGTTCGAGTTAATAGTTTGAGTTAAAAAATGGTAAGAGAAAATACTATAGCAATAAAAATTGAATTTAAATTTTTATGAGTGAAAATATAAATTGTGATTTCAACCTCTAGCGGCATGCTTCTGCGGAGAATATTCTATGCACAACAAATGCAATTGAGTTAAATTCGAAATGTTTTGTAACTTTTGTTGCCCCTCATTGTTTTTGTATTAATTTAGCTACCTTTTCATCATTTTTTTTTAATACCAACAAATGTGATTCATGTTTTTCAAGTTTTGCTTTTGTGAATCTGACCAAATGTGTTAATGCTAGAAATGTTGCCACTTGCTAATGATGGCAATTACTCATTAATGTTCTCCCATCGGTTAAATGTGTAGCATACTTTTAAGACTTGTATTAGAGTTCTTGATTGAGATAATATGTTTGAATCCGCATTTTTTCATTATTAACGATATGCATTGATTCCGTCTGTTGTGAATACTGAGTAGCCAATCTGATACTTGGCATTGATTGATTTAGCTTTTCGGGAAAAAAAAAAAAAAAAAAAAACAATTAACAGCTCAACCATGCTTGGTACACTTTTTAAACATCGTTACTAGGTTGTGTTCCTCTAAATGAAATTTTACATTTACGCTTTACCTTTTAGTACAACAACTACTAGAACACTCGTTGAAAAACAAAAAATTATGACTAGCAATAGTTAATGAAGTTTGAAAGTGAAACCACAGAGAGTCAATCACTTGGATCTTTCAACTTTCTGGATGGCATACTTGAGCTCCTGTTGAATGTTTAACCTTGAAGGTGAGAGTACAATATCTTTCCAAACTGAACCTGCCTCACAAGCCGGGTTGGGGTGCTTGTAGAGTTCGTATATGGATTTGGCTTCGTCATTCAACCTTCCTACCCTCTTTAAACAATCAATCTCGTCTGGATCAACCAGCAGTGTCTTGTCTCTGTCTTTCCATCCTATCAACTTCACAACACAAGTATACAAGTATCTCATGTTTATTGCATGGGAACAGAAATGCAAGCGTTACTCTTTTTGTCACTATCTGAATTTACTGTTTAGCATACGGATTCTACTAACATAGAATATCATTATTTAAACAGAAAATAATATAGCAGACTTCACGTGTCAAGCAGTGAATGCAAAGAGTGACGCTAACATTTATCATATAATAATATATAAGTACCTAAACCAGTACTCTTCTTTATTCATATAAGGAAGGAGCTACAACAAAACTGTTAGGCCTCTGGTAAGAAAAGTTTATGTGAGAAGGGCCAAGAGGGGAAACGGGGTGGGCCCAGGACTAAATGAAGTGGGCCAGCCAATGATGTGGGAAGCCCACCTGGGGAACCGAGAATGGTCGGTTAGTGCTCGGGGGAATATCAGGGGAGTATCGAGGCAGAGGGAAGGCATCGTGAATCTGTGCATGTGTTGCTGCCTGGGAGTTTAGGGATTATTCAAAAATCCTCCACTATCTTAATTTTCCTGCACTCTGTTTTCTTCTTCTTCCTTCGTTGAATTCTAGGGCCTTCCACGAGCCTGAGTTGTATCAATCAATTTCATACAATAAAATACGTTGAGTGAATTTCAGGAATTACCACATTGTTGACAATTCTTAGCTAAACGCCTAGGATCCTATCATTTTATGTTAGGATCCTGGTTGAGTCCCACATTGCTAAAGTATGGGCTTAACATGTGAGTTTATAATCACTTGGACACCCTATCCCTACAAGCTAGCTTTTGGGGATAAATTCTACTCAAGGGTTATAACAATTTGGTATCAGAGCATGCCCCTCCTCAGGCCCACGTTGCGGAAGGGGCGACCTGGAAAGGCCAGAGTGGGCCATCCAGAGTGGGCCGCCGTGGACGTCAGTGTCAGAAGTGTGGTGGTATGTTAGGATCCTGATTGAGCCTCACATTGCTAAAGTATGAGCTTAGCATGTGAGTTTATAACCACTTGGGCACCCTCTCTTTACAAGTTAGCTTTTGGGGATGAGTTCTACCCAAGGGTTATAACAATTTTCTGTTTCCAAGCTACAAAACTATAATCCAAATTATGTTCAAAGTTATCTAACTTGGCATGATTGTATAAGGTACTCTCTACAAGTTAACTTTTGGGGATGAGTTCTACCCGAGGGTTATAACAATTTTCTGTTTCCAAGCTACAAAACTATAATCCAAATTATGTTCAAAGTTATCTAACTTGGCATGATTGTATAAGGTAGATAAGCTTCATTTTTTTAGGCGTGTTTGATCCACAATTCAGGTGAAGCATTAGGAACAAAAAAAAAAAAAAAGGAAGAAAATAATGTACCGTAGGTGGGCCCTCCAAAGCATTGGTGCAGTATAATCTTGCATTATCAACCAGTTGGCAGTATGTTTGGAATGCATTTGCGAACCTCTTGTGTGATTTCAATTGTGAGTTTACTCTAACAGCCCTTCTGCATATGATGGCTCTCCTATTGACACCCCAAATAACCATTTTGATGAGTCAGATTGTCAAGAGGAATAAAAAAGAGTACTTGTTTCTTTCTATGATGGCTCTCCTATTGACACCTCAAATGACCATTTTAATAAGTCAGATTGTCAAGAGGAATAAAAAAGAGTACTTGTTTCTTTCTATGATGGCTCTCTTATTGACACCCCAAATGACCATTTTGATTAGTCAGATTGTCAAGAGGAATAAAAAAGAGTACTTGTTTCTTTCTTTAGCACACACATTGGAAGTATAAACTGTAAATGAGTAAGATTACCTTATGCCTCTAATAACAGCTAGGTAAGCGTCACACACAACCCCAACAAGCTCTATCCTATACGGTTTCCTCCTCTTGCCCCCCACTTTCTCTGGCTCTTCATCTTCAATTCTTTCCCAATAGTTCTCCTTGACAGTTCCATCTTCATCCACCTTGTAACCAGCTCCCATCCGGTAACGCCGGCGGTGGACGTTTCTAGCCATTGTTACTGTCTGCACAACAAATGGGACCCAGGAGAGTGTGCCATCCATGATCACATCCCTCCCTTCATTGAGTGCCGTCACCAAAAGGGATGATGCTGCATCTGTAGATGACTGATGTACCTGTTTCACATTTTTCTTTGGTTAAGTAATCCCATGCATAGATATATTACTTGAATCAATTGGATTGTCTGTACCAATTAATGTAAATTAATAATCTAAAAAACTAACATCAAAACAGTGATATGCTTGTCAAACTAGCATCATGTGTGGAATTACTACTCTTTGTTTCCATAATGTGCTACAAATTGCAAGTGAATTTATGTGCAAAAAGGCTATACAATCTTTGGTGGGGAGAGAAAAAATATATATCACCAGCTCAGCAGTTTGAAGCATATCGTGATGCCCTCTGGAGCTAAGGGCTTTGTAGATTACATCTGATTCCTTGAAGGCATCTGCCTCTATGATCACTGCATTCCCTGCAGCTCCTGCCCAGAATGGCCTGTTCCACATTTCAATCAAAATATATACTATTAACTCCTTTCCTGTTTTCAGTTAGATGCTAATAATTAGATGTTACTAATCTTAGCACTCAAATCAATATTTGTGATTGAATTGAGTGTTTCAGATGCAGAATTCTCAATGTGGGATTAAATCTAGATGAATTGGAGGTGACTAGCTTGATAGCCTAACAAATATATTTGTTATTGAATCTATGTACTTCATACTCTTTGAGAATGTCCTTCAACACACTGCTCTTCCCTGCTCCCATCCCGCCGCCCATGAGGAGGAGGACAGGACTTCTTTCGGCATGGGCTACCGGAGCCATCACTTCTGTACATCGCGAGTCATCATTGGATGCCAACCCCATAGCTTTCAACTCCTCCACTAAGGTAGTGAAAACTCTAGCCACCTTAAGATTCTTTGTCACCCTCTCAAATCTCTGCTGCCTATACAAGATTAGGTCCATTAGAAACATAAAAGTGAATTGAATTGACTAGTTTACTATATAAATTCAGCCTACTACTAGTAGTAAAATTACTGAAAGCAAAACTATTCATTTATGCAATCAATGAAATTTGTTTGTTACTTGTGATTATACCATCCAAAAGTTTCCAATTCATTTTTCTGAAAAATAGTGTGTTATTCTCTCTTAGATCTGGTAGCTTTGACTTCTGTTCTTTTAACAAACAGCTCTTCATAATTACTTAGGGTGATTACAGCGTTCTTTTCCAAGTTTTGGATCAAAGACAAAAAAGGAAAACTACCCTTTTTGATGAGGAGGTTATTTGTCGATAAATTAAGTATTTTTGAGTTTAAATATTTGTGAGTCTTCAAGCACTTTTGTTAGTTTAATATGTTTTTAGTGTTATTTTGTAGAAAAAATAATAAAATAGGACTTAGTGGCCTTTTAGAGTCAAAAAGCACTCAAGGCCACACGAGGGTCCTCTTGGGCAGAATCACCTGCGCGGGCGTGCGCAACACCACGCGAGGCTGCGAAATATTAGACACGCGAGCGCGCCACCAGCAGTGCGGCCGCACCACCGAGGCACGCGGCCACACCCTCATGCGTGCTGTTGACAAACCTTGAGCCATTTTTCAACCCTTGATCAATATAGATGGCTAATTTGGGACCTTTGGATGAGTTTGTCTAAGATTTTCTCTGTGTTTGAGCATACTTAGGCAAAAAAAAAAACCCTAGTTCTCAATTGGGAGAGGATGAGAGGCACAAAAATTCCTAGAGAGAGAAACTTGGAGTTGGAGATTCTTGAAGAATGCTTGCGAGAGATTCTTAAAGATTTGAAGACTTGAAGCTCATCTCCACAAGAATTTTCTCTTCCTTCTCCATTTTCTTTGTAGTTCTTTTTTTTTTTTTTTTAGTTTTTATTCTTAAATTTGTGATTTTGGTTATAGATTCCTCTATATTGAGCTACACTTCATATTCTAGGGCTTGATGTACCTTTATTTGAACCATGTTTGATTATATTGTCAATTGTTAGTTTAAATTCCATTTTAATTTATTTATATTTCTCTATGCTTGATGTTTCTAATTTATGTGGGCAAGTTGTTAGATAATTTTAGATTGTGATTTTGAAGCTCAAGAGATATTGATTTCATAGTCCGGAATTGAGAAACATAGCCTTAGTTGTTGTGAGTCTGGGAGGAGATCAATGCTTAGATAATCTTGTTGAGAGTCTAGAATATTATGAGACCGAGAGGTGATCAAGACCTTGATTATCAACTAGGATTTCGATTGTTGTGAGGCCGGGAGGCGATTGACATTTGAGTTCTAATTTAAGGGCTAAACTTAATAAGTGTATGAGTAAACGGGTTGGATAGGAATATTAATTCGGGGATTCATGCATATGATTTTGTTTGATGCTCGGGAGAGGTAGCGAGGTTAGATTATAACCCTTGATTAATGAATTGAGTGGAATTGGCTAGCATTGGCTTGATATGATGAACATAGGAATGATAAAGTGAAGTCAAGTCCCTAATAAATTTGTGCATAGAAATTTCTATATTTTATTTTATTTTTGTATTTATATTTGTTCTAGTTCTATTTTTATTTTATTGAGTTCAGTTATCTAAGTAAAGTTGAATTATGATAATTACGGTATTTAGTGACAATTTAATACCCAATCTTTATAAAGATAATACTCACTGACTCTTTACTATCAAAACTTGACACCGTACGTAGGGCGAACACTTTTGTTAAACAATATTTTTGTTTCAAATCTTTCCAAATTGAAAAGGTAGAAAAGCAAATTAATTAAAATCTTCTTCATGCATGCATAAATACCCACCTGGTCGCTCGCATTACAATGTCCTTTAGCTTCTTTTTAGGCTCTGCATCATGACTCAATACCTGAAATTTAAGATTCCCTAATTACTATTTAATTTGCAAAAAAGAAAAAAATGTACTATTAATCATAACAGAAAGAGCAGTTAATTATAATTACATCATTTTGTAATCATAATGACTAGATAGAGATGAATATCATGATCACCTGGCTAATCATAAGATCAGCTTGGCTCCAATGAAAGGCAAAGTAACTAAGAATGCATCTCTCAAACTCCTCAACAAGCTTCACAAAAAGAGAATCCGCATCTGGCTCATTAGCAAAGAAAGTATATATATCATCCTCAAATCCTCCTGATTTCCTGACGTATTCTGAAGCTAACTTGCACAGATGTGGACATTCTCTTCTATCCTTAAATCCCATCTGCCTAGCTGTACAGACACAGTTAAAAAAAAAACATTATAAATAACAATAATAATAATAATCAACATGAAAAGCTAATTAAAAATAACATGTTTAATTAGATCTCAAATGCTATAGGTGGGAAGAATTAATTACCTACATAATGGGAGAATCTCTCCAGCTTTTCAGCACGGCCATTCTCTGACGCTTTTTTCCGGGGAATCATCTTCTGATCCTTGAGCTTTCGGAGGCGATAATGCATTACCGCCGCGATGATTAATCCGATCGAAGAGACTACGTAGATCTGCGTGAAGGTTTGTTTGCTTCCATTATCTGAACAAAATGGAGACTTAGATATTGATGAATGGATATAAAAAAAAATTACAACGTAGTACTATATATACAAGTGTAACTCTTGTTCTTTGCCGAAAAATAATTACCCCTCTGCATGTCGTATGATTAATCCAGAAAAATGGACGAACTGATATGATGAATTTTCGTTTGTTGTAAAGATGAGATTCCGAAAGTGAAAAATGAACAAAAAGTCTGGAATTTGCTTATGAGACTTCCTTTTGTAGGTGCATGTTCATGGTCGTCGTTGTGTTTTGAACTTTTGAGAGACTTAAGTGCCAAAGAATTCTTTGAATAACACGTGTAACTATTCGTTGTCTACATTCCGGGACAAACAAACTGACTGGTTCTGCATTAAAACAAATGTCCACTGTAATATTTTTTTCAGACAACGAAAAAAATATTTTGATCTATAATTTTCCATAAAGCCAAAAGAAATTATTATTTATTTTTTTTAAGGGGGCCAAACGAAATTATTCATATAAAAGTAAAATTCTTGTACCAAATAAAAACCAAGGTGATTAGTATTATTGGTCTCTAAGTAATTAGCAAATTAATTTTTAATCTTTTAATTTTGACAATTTTTCCGAACTCTTAATTTACTAGCAAATTTCGACAATTAAAAAGGTCCCATATAAAAAAACCATTTTTTAATCTGAAATTACTAAATACTCTAATAGATAGCAACACAAAAAGGGAAATCAAAATTTTGTAATTATTAAAACATACCTCCATTTGTTAGTTACTAATTTACAAGTTTAGGGACCGATATTGTTGAACTTTTCAAATATTTTTAGTACTATTTGATTATCGTATTCATAAAGTTATAATTACTTACGTTACTGAGATTAGTAATGTCATTATATATAAGATTGATTTCTAAAATTCTCTATTAACTATAGCACTTGCAACAACGTGGCCCTAATATTCAAAACGTAACGTTCTTTTTTCCAATCTATGAAATATTAATAAAAGAACTCATTCGGTTAGCATTTGTTCGCTAAAATTTTTTACAAACTTCACTCTTTATCTTATGCGTGTTATTTTCGAAAAAGATCCTAGCAAAAATAATTTTTTTCCTTAATATTTTATAGATTGAGGGGAATACATATTATATTTTAGAAAAAATTTCATTTTCGTACCTTGTGATATATCAAAATATGAGTTGGGTATTGTTAGGTATTTTTATTAGTTGGTAATTTATTGGCAATCTTGTAAAAATTTAAAAAATAGGTTCAAGAAGATTTCAGATTGCGGAAGAAGAATTCGAATCAGATTTGAAGTTAAAGTTACAGATTTTGTTAAGTTGAGATTTAAAGAGATAAAGATAAAGGCTTGGTCAAAGGAAGATAAGACATTAGTTGAGATTTGGAGAGATAAATATAAGGCATTGGTTATTTGAATTTAAATGGGAGATAAAACTTGCATGAAGATCAAGTTATTTTCGGATTTGAATTCTTGGCTTCATCCGATTATTGTTAGAAGAGTTGAATGGCTTATATATATATATATGTGTGTGTGTGTGTGTGTGTGTGTGTGTGTATTCACGTGAGTTACACAATTAAGCTTGAGTTGCACATAAGAATTGGAACTTGAAATTTGACTTGGTCAAAGAAAAGTCAAAGATAACTTGCTATAATGAAAGATAAGGCATTGACGTGGAGATGGCTAAGAGAATATTAGATGTTGCAAATAAAGCTGAGGAGAATTTTTTGTTATCTGAATATAGGCTCAAAAGTTGAAAAAGGAGATACGTGGAATGAGTTTATATGGGAAGTGGCTCTGCAGGAAAAGGTGGGTCGACTACAGGAAAAAGTCTTGTGATAGAGAATCGGTGCTTAAGTAGAACAATATGTAATTTATGTTTTTTCTCATTGAAAGTATGAACAACTGAAGGGAGTTCAGCAGTTAAAGGTGAAGACGTGTGGTACACGCTAAACAGTGTCATTGTGAGAGTTCATCACAGCGGCGTCATAGTCTAGTAGGGAGTCATTGAGTGAATAAGTTCGTCAAGGTTGTAATTCTTAAATCATAGTGAAACTGTTTACTGTCTGGGCGTGGCCCCGCAGAATAGGTGTGTGCACCGAACTGCGATATCATATTGTGTGTTCCTTTACTTTTTGCACTTTATTTTACTCGAGCAACTGAACGTAGTTAACTCAGATCTATGAGGTACCATCTATTTTTAATAATTTTGTGTCAGTACCTAAACCTTTTAGAAAATCTTCTTTTAGTATCTTAGACAGTTTTTTGAGACACGAAAAGATAAAATTACTTTTATTATTAAATATATAATTTTTTTAAAAAAAAATCATCAAGATTTTTGCTTTATGTTTGGGGCAGAATGAAGTTTAAGTATTTAGTTGCATGTCTAAGATTTTTTAAAAAGCTTTTTTATATATTTAATAATAAGGGTAATTTTATCTTTGTGTCACAAAAAACTGCCATGAGGCATCAAAAGAGGATTTTTTAAAAGGTCTAGGTATCGAGATGAAATTATTAAAAACATAGAGTACCAAACTTATATTTTGATATATCACAGGGTATCAAAATAAAATTTTCCCTATATTTTAAAGATCATGTGACAGATTGTTAGAATGATAGTTGAGATAATTTTTGCACTTGTTTAAGAAAGGGATTTCTCTAATAGGATCAGAAAAAATGAGCTATCGATAATTTTTTATTTTCAATCGTTGTATCAAAAATTATTTATTCTGTATAATTTTTAATCTGATTTGATTTTAATTAAATCTAGTGGTAAAAAACCAATACCTAATAGTAAGGTGGTCATACTAGAGAAACTCTTTTAAAAAAAATAAAGAAAAGAAAATTAGTCCCCGTTTTTACAATAAGCACTATTATGGGCAAGTTCGAACTATTTTTTTAATTGAATCGGTTAACTCAGTTATTTTAGATAAGAATCTTTATAGTGAAAACCTCAATTATGACCTATTTGTAGAATAAGTATTTTTAATTGTTAATCTAATTTTTTTAATAATTAGATTTGCATAAATCTATACATACAAATTTGACTATTTGAAAAAATTAGGGGTTGTTCTTTTAGAGTGTAACTTAAGTGTAGTTTTTGAGTTATAACTTGAGTTGAAGTTAGAATTTGAATAACGTCGAGTAAAATTGAATAAAGTTAAAATTTAAAAAAATGTGAACTTAAATAAAATTAAAATTTGAGTTGTCTTTTTTTTAATTTTTTAGACAAAAGAACGTGATCATATAAGGCAAAATCACCTGCTGCATCAGTTGTGACCCACTGGGGTTCCCAAAGATGCACCTTAATAGAAGCCTCTTTTTGATAGGTTAATACCCGATTCAGGGCTTAGGTGCACCGCCGAAGTATAAGTCATTATTGAGTAGACATTAGTTTATTAGTTTATGAATTTAAAATTATTTTTATTTTATGTGTATTTTTTATAAAAAAAATATTATAAAAAATTATAAATCATAATTAAAAAAACTAGAGCTATTCCAAGACAGGCTGTCCTTGCTCTGACTGCAAGTGCTAAAGTTGGCCTCTTAGGAGCCCGTATCGGGGCCGCGAGAAGAGAACCTGCCCTAAAGAGGACTCCAGAGCTATATCTGGCATGGTTGGCCCGGTCAATCATCCGGGTTCCCTCACATAATCTCCCCCCGTCAGGGGGAGTTCCGGGATAAAAGATAATTGCAGCAATTTTTCTTCTCCGCCCCCCCCCCCCCGCTTCATCCTCTTCAAGCAATGCTCCAAAAGTTAGACTCTCATCCTTATTCACATCCTTAAAACGACCCAAATCTCCAAATCCCAAAAACTCACCAGACAATACCGCCACTTCGAAGAATTCCAGAACTCCAGTTCCAAAAGCTCCGGTTCAAACCGAACCCCAAAAGTTCCTCAACACCAAATGCAAGTCTCCATCCGAAGTTGTTCGCCGCTTCGACGAGATGATTCGGACGAAGCCCACTCCTCCTGTTTCGTTGTTCAACTGTTTGTTATCTGCTCTTGCTAAGAAAAAGCATTACTCTGACGTTTTTCCGCTTTACAATAGGATGAATTCAAGTGGGTTGTTGCCCAATTTTATCACGCTTAGTATTTTGATCAATTGTTTTTGCAATACGAATCGGGTTTCGGACGCTTTTGTGGTTGTGGGAAGTATGTTGAGGAGGGGTTTTAGTCCTAATATTGTGTCGTATACATCTTTAATAAAGGGCTTGTTTATGGAAGAGAAGATTTTTGAGGCAATTAGGTTGTACAAGAATATGTTCAAGTTGGGGTGTAAGCCTACAGTTGTTACATATGGGACTTTGATTGATGGGTTGTGTAGAACCGGAAATACAAATATTGCACTTAAGTTGCATGAGGAAATGTCGAGTGGAAATGGACGGCATGGACTCGATTGCAAGCCGAATTTAGTTTCCTATGGGGCTATTATTGATGGACTTTGTAAAGAGGGGATGGTAGAAAAGGCGAAGGAGATTTTCTTGGAGATGAAAGCCGCGGGGATCGCTCCTGATGTTGTTGTTTATAGCTCTCTTATACATGGTTTGTGCTTTGATGATAAGTGGGATGAGGCTAAAAGTTTGTTTGTTGAGATGATGGACCATGGCGTGAGGCCTAACACGGTGACGTTTAATGTGTGGATAGATGCGCTTTCGAAGAAGGGGAAGAGGAAACAAGCTAGGGATATGCTTGAAATGATGGTTGAGAGAGGAGTGAGTGCTGATCTATTTACTTACAACGCTTTGCTAGATGGTTTCTGTAGAGCTGGTAAGCTTGAGAAAGCCAAGGAGCTATTTTATTCCTTGCCAGCCAAAGGTTGTGAACCCAATTCGTATAGCTACAATATGTTGATCCGTGTGCATATTATGAAGAGGAAGATTGAGGAAACTTTGAAGATCTTTCGGGAAATGATTCCCAAGGGAGTTAGCCCCACAGTTGTTACATATAACACTTTATTATGTGGTCTCTTCCATGCAGGTAAGGTTGACGATGCTCGCAAGATGTTTGATGAGATGCAAGATCATGGTATGGTGCCAAATTCATCGACGTATTCTATACTTTTGGATGGATTGTGCAAGAACAATCGTGTTGAGGAGGCCTTGGAAATATTTCGTACTTTAAAAGATAGTAATTTTGAAATGACTATTCAAGTTATGAACACCATCATTAATGGATTGTGTAAGTCGGGGAAGTTTGAGATTGCGTGGGAGCTATTTCAGCGGTTGCTACAAAGAGGCCCGGTGCCTAATGTTATCACGTATTCCATCATAATCAATGGGCTTTGCAAAGAAGGGCAACTAGAGAAGGCAAATTGTTTGTTTCTAGAGATGGAAGGTCAGGGCTGTTCTCCAAATTATGTTACATATAACACACTAATGCGTAGTTTCTGCGACAACAATGAGCTCCCAAAAGTGGTCGAACTTCTTCACCAAATGGCGAAGAGAAATGTGCAACCTGACGCCTCTACATTCTCCATCGTGATAGACTTGGTATCGAAGGATAAAAAATATCGCGAATGTCTGGATTTGCTCCCAACATTCCCTATGCAGGAGAAAGAGAAAGACGATATGTTTACTTTCGACTCGGTAGCATGAGTTTCAGTTGATAATCTTCACCTGGAAGTACGAAATTTTGATGAACTACTTTAGCACCATTCTTTTGTTGGTTGATAAGCAAAGACCGGATCTGCCATAGCTATGCCAACTTCTATATGTACTGTTGTACTTTATATAGTTTAATATTCAGTGTAATCTTTTATTTATTGTAATTAAAAAAAGATAATTAATCAGCAAAATTTCATTTGAATATCTATCCCGACCCCTTTGTTTTAATGCAGTGTTCAAGAGAAGGACAAAGATAAGAGACTTGTTTGTCTCCACATATGATTTAAAAAAATGAAGGAAAGATCAGAAATTAAGGCTTAATTCATTTCACCGATTCGAGTTTTCAGTTTTAGGTTTTTACAGTTAAAAGCTCTCAGAAAATGTCACATTTAACTATTTCTGTCACAGTGAAAAGCTCTCAGAAAATGTCACATCTTAACTCAAATTGAAAACTTGAATCCGCGAAATGAACGAGACCTAAGAAATGTCGGCAATCAATATTCATTGTATTGATTTATTTTCCTGATGTTCGAGGCTAGCTTGGATTGGATGTATGATTCACAAAGGGCAAGGAAACAAAATTGGAAACTTGTAGCAGTAGCGGTAGGGCCAAATATTTGCCTTTTTTCACTTGTGCCGTCTCTTCAACAAGTTAAAGGGGGAATTTGGGTTGTCACGAAAATGCAGAATGTGAACAACTACAACGATACAAGTGTTATCCATCCTTCAATGAAGCAAAATTCTTCTCACTGCTTTTTATGGAGTTTGCGAAAGTAAGCAACCAAACAAAATCTTGGAGATCACCTAGGCCTTACCTACTCCTACTCCATTCTATCACCATTAACAATATTACTCCAACTACATGTTTAGGACGTGAAATGTGTAGCTCAAGTGGTTGAGTGTGTGAGTATGTGCGTATGTCCAGAAGATGTTTGATTTATGAATTCATAATTATAATTCAAAATCATTCTCATTTTACGTGTATTTTTTATGAGAAAAAACACTGTAGAGAATCATGAATCATGATTCAAAATCATGAACGAATATAAGAAACAAACGTTCCCGTCTTGATGGTTTCATTTTTCGAGTAAAGTGAGAGTCATAACCTATCAAAAGAAAGGTGAAAAAAAAAACTCCATTTTCTATTCTCTCCATCCCATCCATTTACGTACCATGGGCTACTTTTGTAGGCTGAAATTTTGTTTTAGTTGAAATTTGTCCAATAAGATCTATATATATCAAGATGAGGAGTTTGATTAATTACTGAGGCCTAAATGATTGGAAAAAACAAGGTTTAATCAATAATCTAGGAAAATTATTTAGCCATAGATCATGGAAAGTATTTTAGGTCATTGAGGTGGTATAGCCTATCTTTATGTTGGCAATACCATAGATAATGATGCCCAACAAAATCTGTCTTTCAGATAGACTTTTACGTTTGCTGCTGAATGCTTTTCGAAGCATCATTGGTGACAATTTAGTCAAAAGGTAATGAGACTATACTTGTTTTTTTTTTTTTTAAATTTATTTACTTTAAGATTTCTGTCGGGTTTGCTTTATCCAAGTTTAGTCCACTTTGGAAATTTTCCTGTCGTAGACTACTCTCGAGTTAAGTGACGTTTATTTTATGAGTTCTACTTAGTTTAAAATTAAGATTTATAGTTTTATTATAATGTTTTTTTTTTCATAAAAAATTTAAATTTTAAAAATTAGAACCATAAATTATGATACGTCACCTTAATGTTGTAATTACATATACGAAAAATATTGCCACGTAAAAAGAAAAAAAAAACATACTTTTTCACCCAAAAAAAAAAACACAACATATTTAGAGCGCTTAATTAGATGTGCAGAGGAGAGCAATACTTTACACTTGAGTACGTGATGTCCTCTTTCACATATTGTGTAAATTTGAAGTTATTTTATCTGCATATATATATATATATTGTGTCTGATAAATAGCAAGTAAAAGAGTACAAAACATTTATATAAAAAAAACGAAAAAAAAAAACAAAATTCACTTTCCCCACCCCTGCTCAACGTCTTGTTAAGAGAAGCAAAATTGTCTCACAAAGTTTTCCTTTGTTATCATATGTTAATCAAGTTTGCAAATAGTTCTCTCCAAACTAAGTTAATCAAGCGACTGCTGTGATTATGGAAAATTAATTTGAACAACACATAGACAAACGTCACAAAACTATCCCAGTGATGATAATTCTTACTGCTACGTCTTACTACTACTACACTACTATATGTTGTGTGTGTTAATTTGTATAAAACTATATATTTATAAATAGATATAGATATATGTACACGTACACACTTTATTTATTTATTTATTGTTGTCAAACTCTTGACATATTCTCTCACCCTACTTCCTTTTGGCTCAAGAGTCAAGTCCAATCAAACCCCGCAAAGTAAGTACTTATATTCCATTGTTTCAAACTCAGCACTCTCACTACGAGAATCATAGCCTTAATAATACTAGACTTCACAGTCACTGATATTGGCCTCATCCCATCACGTCTGTATCAATATCGCAATTGTGTATATCAGTTCTCTTTTTAGGATCCATTTTATCTATATCTTTTATTTTCTGTTTCCTTTTCCATAAAATAAAATAAACTAAAAACCTTGAATGGAGTTAGTTATCTTCAATTAATCTACTTGAATTATTAGTTCACATGTAGATATGATCCACGTATGGGAGTAAATTAGTTTTTCCATTATGAAATTGACCCACAAAAGTGTAAAAGAGTGTGTGTGTGTGTGTATATATATATATATATATATATATATATAGACACACACACACGAACCTATCTGCAGGTATAGAGATTATATTGTTTTGGCCATGAAAACAAAGACATAGTATGTATTGAAATGAATCACTAAGTAGAGGGCTAATTACTTAGATCTCTCCAATTCCCTTTCTCTTCACCCCCTTAGCTTCACAAATAGATCATTCACACATTACTTGTGTTTTCTAACTTAGTTTATGTACAACTCTCTGAAAAAAAATAAATACATAAAAAGAAATCGACACTCCCTAATCCAAAGCAAAATTATTTTGACACATATCCAAAAATATAAGATAAAATTGATTAGCAAAGCCTTTTTTTTTTTTTTCTAAAACAGTCGTATGTTCACATTAAAACTTCGTCAACGCGTAATTAGGTAAAGACTAATGGAAAAGGAGAGGAGAGAAAATCATACCAAACGTGTTGGCTCTGATCATGACTGCTAGTTCCAGCTATATATAATCTTTCTGTCATTCCTGATCAGACAACATATAATAACAACTAAATATCGATGTATACATACATACATATATATATATATGTATGTATGTATGTATGTATGTGTACATACATATAGTTCTGCACAAACCCTTTTCAGATATGATCTTCATGATGGAAATTAATAATATGCGTTTGATCTGCAGCTGCATCATCGTGAATGCCAAGTGAAGATATAGAGATGATGATGATTTTCCCTAGTTGAGGGGAATGAAGCCTGGTCCGAAATCATTCAGGTGATCATGATCATGATCATCATGATATCATGTGTTGATTTATCTTTCAATACCGAAAGATCTCGAACCAGACGACATTCCCCTCAACTGTTCATGAGAGAGAGAGAGAGAGAGAGAGAGAGAGAGAGAGAGAGAGGGAGAGAGATTTGATATGGCCATGCATTATTAATTTTCATGGGGTCCTATAAATACGTAAGGATGAGATTCTTTCTTTGGTCACATGACATGGAGTCCACTTTCTACACTACTACTAACATTACTTTTCACACATAGATAGCTATATATAGCTATTTGATGTTTGTATTAAACGTTTCCAACAAACATCCAGGAAACCTAAATGAAAAATAAAAAAAGAAAAAGAAAAAGAAAACAGGTTTCTTTTCTTTTTCTTTTTCTGTTTCTCTCCCTTTTTCCTCCCTCACACGACATTGTAAACACAATATTAAACCATATATGCACATGCTTATGAAATATTGTCAAATATTTAGTTAACTCAATATGTCGTCTGATTTTTAGTTATATATATGCAGCTCGTTGACATTTTTGGTATATATATTTTACCATTAGTTATATACCATATATTAGACGCACACTAATAGTAGTATAATACGTCTAGTTACCAAAAAACAAAAAACAAAAAAAAACAATGTTAACCATTGCCATGAAACTTGTTACAAAAAACTTGTTTTTTTTTTTAACAAAAAAAAAAAAAAACATGTTTTTTAAACATATTTAGGATATGTCCAAGTTGAATCTTATTGAAAACCTTAATAGGTGGAGCAATGATATAAATTAATTTGAGGGTCTGACTTGCTTGATTTCAAGGCCAAAAAAAAAAAAAAAAAAAAGAAAAGGAAGGCTTGACCTTGAGTTTTATATATTCTCATCTCACAAGTAAGGGATATGTCTTTTGCTTGCCACTAGGGTAAAGGGAAGGTGGGAGGTACGTGAAGAACCTTTGCTCATCATGATTATCAATGCCATATGCAGCTAGCTAGCTAGTTTGATGCTATGCTTAAATCTCAAGCTTAATACACACAGTTTGACTTCTGTTAAAACTTTTAGCTAGTGCCCCGGCAATTATATTATGTCATATTATATTCATATATATATATATATATATATGTGGGCACGTCTACAGTTCCACCAAATTGTAACTCCACCAAGTCCACGAACAATGTTTGGACCGTTGATTTTGATGATGTGTCATATTATATTTATTCAAATGAGATCCAATGGTGAGCATCTAATAAGGGTAGGTAAGGGTATTTTCTAATTCTTTTTACTGGCAACCGGTCCACATGTACGGGAAGACCTTTCTTAAGCATGTATCTCCTAGTGAGAGAGCAAAATATGTTCTAGAGAGAAAGAGAAGTTTTACATTAGAGAGAAATTGAGGATGTGAGAAATTTTTCTATCTTTTATTTTTGGTTTTAAATTTGTTTAATTCTTTCCTATCGGTATTGAATTTATGAATATGAAAATGATTTCCATTCAATATGAATGCACCGGATTCTTTAGGCCTTCGGATCAAATCTGATAGTGCAAAAAATGTGCGTAATCAATTAGGTAAAAAGAGTGTGACATCGTAGTTGTTCTTTTAGACAATTCCAATGTAAATACTAATTTCAATTATATATTTAGCATTAATAATTGTGATAATTATATGTTTTA